GAGTCCGCCTCAGGCATCCGGCTGCATCCCGCATCCCGCATCGCCGTGCTCTGTGGGGCGCGGTCTGGGCGTGGAGAATGGCCCTGAACGAGAAGCCGGCCGCCGGCGCGCCCGAGGATGGGATGGAGGACGGACCTGAGGACGGGGCGCTGGCCCTCGGCGGCACCCTCGAGTCGTTCGGCGACAGCGCGGAGACGCGCGCGCTGCTCGGCCGCCTGCGGACGGTGCTCGGGGACCGCTCGGCCCGGGAGGGCGTCCTGGAGCGGTTCCGAGGTGCGTGCGGGCGCACGCGGCTCCGGGGGCGGGCCCCGCGTGCATGCTGCGGGGCTGGACCTGGCTCCTTTCCGCAGCCTGCTGAAACTGCGTTAACCCCGGTGACTTTTCCAGAACTGCCAAGCGGCCCACCCCGGGAGCCACCGCATCTCGCTTACTCACGAACTTCCCGGCCTGCTGCCCACAGCCAAGCGACCGCCCGTCCGGGGGCGGCACCTGCGAGAGCCGTGGGTTGTGCAAGGGCGGCCTCCCCCGGACGCGGAGGGCAGTGGGTCCTCCCTTTCCCACCCGCCCGTGGGGAGGCTCAGGGTGAGGACAGGGGTGTGTCCCCCCCACCCCCTCAGCAGTGGCCTGCACCTCCAGCCCCGCTCCCATCGGTCCTGAGACCGCAGCGCAGCACGGGCTCCGCTGGCCGTGCGGGCGGGGGCGGCAGGTGTTACACAGACCTTCGCGCGGAAAGCTGTTTTTATCGAGCCATGTGCCAGCCAGAGCAAGGACCAGGCAGGCCCTGGGCGCGCTGGCCCGAGGCCGGGTTCGGCCCTGGAGCTGCCCGCGCGCGCTCTTTCGTACCTTGAGTTTGGGGAAGGCAGGTGTGAGTTTGGAGAGGCTGTTCACGGGCTGCAGATGGAGGGCGTGGGAGGAGGCGGGGCCGGCCAGCTGTGGGATGGGTGCCTTGTGCCAGGGCAAGAAGGGTTTGCTCCTTCGGCTTGGCTGTGGGCAGCAGGCCGGGAAGTTCGTGAGTAAGCGAGATGCGGTGGCTCCCGGGGTGGGCCGCTTGGCAGTTCTGGAAAAGTCACCGGGGTTAACGCAGTTTCAGCAGGCACGCGGGCGGGTTCGGAGGTGTGCTGGTCTCCCTCCGCCTGCAGTCGTTAGCTACGTCCTCTCTTCCACCCCCTGCGGGCTCCGTCCGATTTAGGACATCTCAGAGTTTTCTCCTTGTCACGGGAGAAGGTGCAGAGACATGCAGCCCAGAGCGGGCAGGGGATTTGTGTGGTGCCGCGGTTCTGGGGACACCACCTAGAATGTGTAAGTGGCAGACGGCGACCTCGGCTCCACCAGACAGGCGTGCAGC